TTCCAGGAAGTCTTGCAAAGATTGGGTAATTCCAGCTCCTCTTCCAGTGGTTCCTGAGATAATATTTGGCCTAATTTAAAGATCCTTTCTGATGAGCATAACAGTACATTTGTAGATTGCTTCAAAACCAACTAAACGTGTAAGTGTTTGGTTCATATAGAGGTTCAAGTAAAATGTGCTTTTGGTCATCTTTTCAGCTGTTTTTGTACCATAAAAGTAACGTCTTGTTATCATACAGTTCAGTGCAAAAGTCTGAGACCAGCCAAAACAGACAATAAGCAGAATTTATTCATTTTTCAGTGGTACGAATTCAAAAGCAGAACAATATACAGTATTGTGTGAATGTTTTAGACACATGAGAAATTTAGATTTAAAAGGCTCGGCCAGCAAGCATTTATTTATTAATAATATTAGATATATCAGACATATTAATGTTACTAATATTAAAATAAATAAAATAACATAAATAAAATAACTAGTGCATATGCGTGTTCGTTAAACCATTTCCAAACATCATGGCAGCTCAATATTGATTGTAGTTATCTTCCAATACCTGCTTCAGCTAACCAATGCTTCTTTACGTTAACTCAAGTGTGCTGGTGATGGAATTGAACAAATCTATGTTATTTTTTAAAAAATAATATTAATAATTTTAAATTATTAAAATTTATGTTTATTGATATTTATTCTAGTGATATATGGTGATTTTACAAGCAAAAACAAACTCAAGATAAATGGTTTTAAATAATTTGCTCAGGTTCCCGAGGCTTTTGCACAAGACTGTTTATTATTAGAACATTACACAGAAGCCTCAACAACTAAATATGACTTTTTCCAGTATTTAGTGTGCCTTGACTTTGCCTGTAATACAACTTTCATCCCACTTTAGGAGACTTGCTTAAATTTTTTCAAAGAAATCTGCAAGGATATTTTTCCACACCTCTAAAGTTCAGTCTTAGAAGTTGGTTGCATTTTCTGCTGCTAATGATCTCAGGAATCACATTCAGTGATGTCGAGGTCTGGACTCTGGGCTGACCAGTTCATTGTTCTTCAATTTTCTTCTTTTTGTGTGTTTCCTTTTTTTCAGTAACAGCTTCCTAACAGCTCCACATCATTTCAGACCCATAGTGTTGAGTTGTCTTCTCACAGTAGAAGGATGGACAGAAACACCTGTGGATGTTTTAGATCTGAAACAAGAGTGGAGCTTGATTTTCTCCCCAAAGCTTGATTTCTATCCCTCAAAGATGAACGTTTTCAGTACTGTTTATCTGATTAAAGTTTTGTGGCCTATCAGGTCTTGCATGAGGGTTAGGAGTCCTATTTTCTCTGTATCTTTAATATTTTTTTAAACTCCAGTTTTTGAAACTCTCTTTTTTTCACTTATTTTCTTTTGACTTGCACCTTTGTTGTGCAAGTGGATTATCTTATATCTAATCCAATAATAATATGTTCTAAAAAATAAATAACTTTTTATTTATACGCTTTTCTGATATAATATATGCTCTTCCGGGCTTTTTAGTGAATGTTACAACATGCTCCTTTATCTGTTACAGTGTGTTAGATGGCGTCCTGGTCACCTCTAGTATGTACAAAATGTAATCAGCTCTTGAAAATGTTACAAATGTTAATAAAGACAATCAAACTGATGCAACAGTTAAAAATGGACGCAATGAATTTTCTTATATTTTTGCATTTGTAGGCTGCCTGAATAACAAACTCGAAGCCCTTTGTATCAAAGTACCAAATTTAGTACCCATTCAAATGTTCCAAAAAGCAAAGCAGAGCTTCACGCTGTTGAAATAAGGTCAATAAAAATCCAACACGATGAGAGCAGCTTGAGTACTAGAAGAATACATTTCTGTGGGCGTATCAAAGCATTGTAAACTGTAAGTGATCTAAAACAGAAGTGCCGTCTGCCTCTTTAACCACAGAGCCATGCCAGACAGCGTGTCTATCTCTAAACATGTCTATCTGTGCACGGAATGGCTGCCATTGGGAACGGGTGTCCTCTTCTATTTTGGGCCTCCATAGTGGGCTCTGGTCTTTGCTAGAGGACTCTTATCTCAGCTCCGGCTCTCAAGGTCGACAGCTTCTGAACCCAACCCCACCATCCGCCCCCCCCGCCCCCAGTCCAGCCCATAAGGAGGTTCAGGTTTTATGAGTGATTAAGTGTAAACACTGCTCGTCATATATCACTTTAGTGGGGCATTATAGTGGAATCACCAAGACGTGCACTCAGCAGCAAGTGTATCTGTCACATAGACAACAACAGAAAGCCGTGAGGCTGCTTTTAGAGTTTGTGCTTCAAAACCTATATAAACCCTATAGTATATTTTTATTAATGCTTTATGTTTTCTTTAATTTTGTATTGTTTTTTCAATTATTTTTTTTTGATCTCCACCTTTAATAATAATGTAAGTCACTTTGAGCCGCATTTTAATGTAGGACATGTAGTTAGTTACTTTTAACTCATTAATATCAAGTCAGAACAGCCATTAAGCACAAATTCTTCACTTTTCAGGAGATTTTTCAGAGGAGATTAGATATGACAGTCCACTTGCATATGGAAGGGGAACGTCAAAGAAAAATAAGTGAAAACGGGAGTTTCCAAAACTGGAAACTTATTAAAAGATACAGAGAAAATGGAGCCGCTAGCCACTGTGCAGGACCTGGTAGACCACCAAACATGTCACCATCAGATAAACAGTACTTAAAGCTTTTATCTTTGAGAGAGAGGAGAAGATCAAGCTCCACTCTAGCTTCAGATCCGAAAAAATAGAAGCTCTCATAAAGGCAAAGGGTCAATACTGAAAATAAAAAGATATATTTAGTTGTTGAGGTGGTGCAATCTTCTGAAAAATACTGGAATACTGGAAAAAAACACACTATATTTAGTTGTTGGGGCCGTGTCATTTTCTGTTTAATATATGTTTTCTGCTTTTTTTCCTGACAATGAAAAATGAAAACTGGAAGTTTCATATTATTATTACTGTTTTTATTTTTAATAATATTAATATTCAGTACGCCTGAGACAATTATATAAAAGAAACTCTGCAGATGCTACATGATATCACATAAAAATAATAATGGAATAAAAGATGTCCAAATTTCAAATCTAACCAGTACATGAACAAGCAAAAGTTCTTCCAGTCTAGGTCACAAATCAAGTCAGTATAACAATACATACACGGTATATGGTACACAGATACAGTATATGGGCCATGACTGTCCACCCCCTGCCCATTAGCAAGTCATAGCCCATAAATAAAAATAATGTCTGTTCCTCACCTTTAGAGATTAACATGTGCTGACATGAGATGCATTTCTCACCGCCCTCCTACTTCACCACCATTTTAATCCCCATTTATATTCAGCTCATTTTCACACGCCTGTAATGTCACATTACCGCCAGTTACAGACATTTTGAGCCTCTTGACTCCTTAAAAGCCCCCTGACGATTCTGCTGCAGGACACCAAACTGCAGAGTGATGCAGATTTCACACTCAGTAATGAGTTTAAAATGTCTGCTAGTGCTCTTTTATTCTCATTTAAGTCTAAATGTAATAAAAAATTGTCTTGTCTAATTTAACAAAACTAGATTATTTTTAATAGCAGTGGATTATTAACATTACTAGATTATTTTAATAGTAATAAAACAATATTGAGTGATGTGGAATGTTGCAAATATTTATTACTATTATTTACTATTACTTATGAAAAAAGTAAAGGTGTTACTCCATTTAGAAGAAAAATATGAAGTAAAAGATACACATAATGGCTCATATTAAAATAGATCAATTATACGGCAAATATTTGTGAGGTTTTAAAATGTATGTGAAATATATTTAATTAATTAATTTATTTATTTATTTGAGCCTTTTTTAAATATTTCAAAATAAGCACATATATTGGAAGTATATTGAAATATCTGCGAAATATATGCAATGTATAATTTTTTTGTTTACATATCGCTGTTGTTGGAAGAAAGCCTCGTATCAGTTTTTGACATAATTTGAAAATGTCTGTTGTCCTTTAGATTGTGTTTAAATTTCATGAAGGACTGACCAAAAGAAACGGCCCAAAATGACTTGGAAAAACTTCTGGTTCCACTGACTTACATTAAAATTTAAAGTATGTTTTTTTTCTCCTCCTGTAAAGTTACAATTTTGGAGATAAGAGGTTTTCTTCCAACAACAGCGATATATATTTTATATTTACATATATGAAAATATATTACAACCGTGATACATTAAAAAAATATATATATATGGAAATATATTTCCTTTGCATATGGGACATTAGTGGTTGGTTAGTGGTTGATTTGTTATGGGTTATTCCAAATTCTGCTGGAAGTGATGAAACTTTTGTAATCTATATGAAGTCTGCAATATTTTGTCAACTTCTATGTTATACTGTCATATTTACTATGAACTTAGTCCACTGTAGAGGCTTAGTAAACCCACTTGGTCTTTAACTAACATCCAGTTAAATATCTATGAAAAATTAATGAAGTTTAATGTAAAAGATTCTACTATCCTTTAACTTCACCCTAACCATAATTAAACCTAAATCTAATCCTAACCCTAACACTAATAGTCTTACACCATATAGTTTGTTAACAGTTCAAGCATCTATAGTGGGCTATCAAAATAAAGTGTGGCCTATTTCATGTTAACTTCATCAGAGCTCAGTTGTAATATCTGATGATATATCAGATATTATATATCTGACAAAATATTATATATCTGCATAGACAACTACACAGAAGCTATTTAAATGAGCATGTTTAGACTTCTAAATGTACAGTATATTGTAGGCAGAGTTCACAAGTTCCACATTGTAATTGCAATAGGAAATCTTCACCAACAGCAGTGGAGTTTTAAAAATAACCCTCTTACAGAAGAGCCCTGTGGAGATAAAAATGCCGTTTGCCTTTTCTGACGGTGCAGAGCTGGTGCGCGCTCACAACCAATGAGCGAGTGCACACACAGGGACACACTGGGATTTCTGACATATCTCCCCAGCTCTGACCTTGAGCGAGACAATAAAAGGGGATCAGTCCCTGCGCCTTGGGCCAACCCATTGAGAGCTTTCAGAGGTTAGTGACCAAGTGCATGTGTGCTCCACTGTTTGTAACCATTTTCAGGAATTCCAGCTTGAGGAATTCCTTTAGGATATTACTCAGTTTTCCAAGAATTTCCAGAAGTTGTTATTTAAAGTTAAAAAAGTGTATGAGAATGAGCTTACTTTTTGATCTCACACAGGAGTGGAATAACGTCTGAATCCTTGCAGGTGTGTCCGGGGCCCAGAGAATTAACCATGTCCCGCTTTATGGAACTGAGGGAATTTGGAGAGGCAGCCCAGTTTCTCCGCAAAACCAACCTGGAGCAACTGGCTGCGCAGGCCCATGCTTTTGACGGTACTGTCTGCTGTTCACTCTCTGGCTACCAAACCTGAATTTGGATTTCTAAAGATCTTTAATGAAGAGAAAATGCCTTTAACTGCTGGACCAGTTCTGAATGAGCACTGTAGCTGGCTTGTTCATATGCCTGCTGGTTGAAAGACACTGAATTAGAAAGATGTTTATTGCATTAAAACTGTTTATCTTTTGTAATATATGGCTGTGGGTATTTAAGTATCAGCAACATTTATATACTTTTTCATACTCTTCTTTTATATTATTAATATAATGCTCAGTTGGTAGTGGAGCACATGTAAGAAGACATTACTATTGCTATTAATTAAGACCACTAAGAGTTGAAATCCTCCATCAGTGTTATTTGACTGCTGTCTTTTCTTGGTTACATCCGTGTGCAGGAAAGAAACGAGTCTGGATACCAGATGAGAAGGAAGCTTATATCGATGTAGAGGTTAAAGACTTAGATGGGGACAAAGCCACTGTGGAAACCAGAGATGGACGGGTTAGTAACATGTAACTTTCAATATATCAATAACAATAATAACATGGTCTAACAGAGCTCACATGTGAATAGTCAGTGCTATGTGGACACGTCAGAGCTGTTGGTACAAGAATATCATGAACTTGATTTTATAAATTTGAAGCTAAACGTGGATATTAACAATTGGAAAGTGATCAAATATGTATCAAGATTAGATTCAGCAGGAATTTAAAACTCTTGTTTTGCTATGCTCAGATTTTAACAGTCAAAGAGAACGACATCCAACCCATGAACCCACCGAAGTTTGACATGATAGAGGACATGGCCATGCTGACCCACCTCAACGAAGCCTCTGTGCTCTTCAACCTCAGCCGCCGATACAGCTTCTGGATGATCTATGTGAGTCTGACTCAGAGTGGTTCTTTACAGTGATAGGAGACAAAACATGACATGACATTTTACTGCTAAACATGTTTTAAAGACTAACAAGATATGTCGCATGCCAAACCTTCTGTGTTTTGTTGGTTTTCCAAGTGAAAATAAGACATAACACATCCTCTTAAGGATGTCAATGTATTTTTATTTTACATGAAAACACAAAATATAAACTGGGCCATAACGTTTGCACAGGCCACATTTATGTTTAATTTTTTTCCCTAATATGTTAAATTCACCAAATAAACAGTAAATATGTGATAGTGTATCACAAATCAACAAAACATAATTTGCATATGACTATTTCCTGTGGTCTTATTTTTTATTTTTTTTTCCTTTTTAAACCCATTAAACTGCAAGGGCCCATACGTCAGGCCACACTCTTAAAACTGGATATTAGTTTTGTAGTACTAGTTACTGATTAATTAATTAATGTCTTAAAACAAATGGCCCATATCATGAAAACATTCCTTTTTCTTGCTTTTTGTTTTTTAAAAATCTGTAAATGTTATTTAAGTTTCAAAATCTACTCACCATACAGTCCATGCAGTCCACGTTTGGAAACTAAGCAGAGGAAACAGCCATTTTTCTCATATCACGACAACAGTTTAGTGCCACCCATTCACACTGAAGCTGTAAGGAGTATTTCAGACTGGTCTACTGTTTGAGTGAGGCACATCACAGGGATTTTATATATCCATGTTAAAGGTACAGTAAGGAAAATAGCCTTTATTTAATGAATTTAATTACTTTAATAGTTCAATTCTCTGGTAAAAAGAAAGGTTGGGAAATGGTCATAAACAAGTGGACAACAAAATGTGGGCCCTCTGATAACAAAATAAAGCCGCCTGTAGTTGGAGGGGTTAAAAATCTTGATGTCCTCCCCCACAGACCTACTCAGGGCTGTTCTGTGTGACAGTAAACCCCTACAAATGGCTCCCTGTCTACACTGCTGAAGTGGTCGCTGCCTATAAGGGAAAACGGCGTTCGGACGCTCCTCCTCACATCTACTCCATAGCTGACAATGCTTACAATGACATGCTAAAAAGTACGCCAACGTCCACTCACTCACTCTTTTCATGAATTTTACAATAATCCAAATGTGTGGATGTATGGAAGCTTTCTGATTCTGATTCTTCTCTCATTTTCACCACAGATCGTGAAAACCAGTCCATGCTCATCACGTAAGTCAACTTTGTCTTACCAAGACATGCTCCACACTCTCTTAGCTTAATTTGCTACCTATTGAGGATTCCTCTGGTCACTTGGTCACTGTGTGAACGTTATCTAATCATGCAGAGATAATAAAACTGGATGTTGCTGGTTTTATTTGGTAGCTTTTCCCAGTGTCCCATCATGTACTCAGTTTTTTTAAACGTGCTCTTGGTGTTTGTACATATTTTCTGATCCATTTTGTCCACTCTTAGCGGAGAGTCCGGTGCTGGCAAAACTGTCAACACGAAACGAGTAATTCAGTATTTTGCCATTGTAGCTGCTATCGGAGAAGCAGGTGGCAAAAAAGGAGTAAGAGCAGAAAGATTCCCTTCTGTGTTTTTGCTTTTTTTTGTTTTTTTTGTTTTTTAATCACTCATTCTTCCCCTATTTTTTAATCTTATTTTTTTGCTCCATTTTATGTTGTTTTTCAATTTTTTAATCTCTCCTGAATGTTTACCAAATCCCCTCTGGTATTGCAGTACGCAGAAAAAAAGACATTTTTAACAACTAGAGTCTTTTGAATCCCAGATTTTCCTAAATGTTTTTGTCACCCCCTTTTTGTACCACTGTTTTATACCAGTCCTCGTTCTCATCTGTGAGCAGTCTTTAGTTTCAATAAGTGTACGTAGGTTTTTCTTCTCCTTTTTTTTGAGACCAAGTCCTGTTTTCATCCATTCCCTTCCATCATGACAAATAATATTTCATGTCCATCAGTTTCCATCAGTTTGTGCCGTCTCCCCTTAAAGATTCCTTCTTTTGCTTTTTTCCCTCCTTAGTTTTTTAAACCACTGACCTTTGCGTGCACACTCTGCTCACTGTCCACCTTAAAACACCCACAGGGTACACTAGAGGACCAGATCATAGAGGCCAACCCAGCAATGGAGGCGTTCGGCAATGCTAAGACTATAAGGAACGACAACTCGTCTCGCTTTGTGAGTGAACAGTGAATGATGTGTAATATGATCTGGGGTTTTTCTGCAGTTCTCCACTTCACTTGCCTTTTTCCATTTCTTTCTGCACAGGGCAAATTCATAAGAATCCATTTTGGCCCCACGGGAAAGCTGGCATCTGCTGACATTGACATCTGTAAGAAACCGAAACATTGTTTTTGTCACAATCACTGGAAACACTGTTCCTCTTCTAAATTGATTCATTATTCGTTTTTAGATCTTCTTGAAAAATCCAGAGTGATATTCCAGCAACCTGGAGAGAGGAGCTACCACATCTACTACCAGATCTTATCTCACAGGAAACCAGAGCTTCAAGGTATGGAACAGCGATCGCACCGACAACTGAGAATCTTTTCGTCTTTGTGAACAATGTACTGTTTCACTACATCTGACTTATTTCATTGGTCAAACACAGACATGCTGCTGGTGTCGTCGAATCCGTTTGACTACCACTTCTGCTCTCAGGGTGTGACCACAGTAGATAATTTGGACGATGGACAAGAGCTACTTGCAACCGATGTAAGTATAACTATAAAACCATCTTTCCTTTGAGTGTAAAATAAACAAAAATGATGCAAAAGTCAGGGACAACCCTTCATTTATATCACTCCCACTCAAAAAATCCTTTAAGGACAAGCTATTAAATTATTAATTAATTTTATTTTTTTTATTTATAATTGTTTATATCGTTAATTTTTTGCAGGATTTTTTTTACCTTTAGTATTATATACATTGTCTATATAGCAACAAGTAACAAACTTCGAAAACCTTGTTAGGTAATTAACAAGGTTAATTACTTGCTGGTTAATTCTCTTCTTGTTACTTCTTTTCTTGAGTGCCTTGTTCTCCCTTTGCTGCTGTAGCACACTGTGTATTTCCTCGTTGTGGGACTAAAAAAGGGCTATCTTATCTTATCTGAATCAAGAAAAAACAATACGTTATAGACAATTACACTGAATCCTCAGCAACTGAATATAATAAAGTTTTTTTCAGTATTCTGTCTAAACTTTGCAGAAATCTGCAGGGATATTTTTCCACACTTCCAAAGTTCAGTCTTAGAAGTTGGTTGCATTTTCTGCTTCTCATGATCCAAAGAATCCTAGTCACAAATTTACTAATCAGAAACCTCATAACCCTCACTCCACATCTCAGATGTCCAGATTCGTTGTTAATGTTGTGCAAAATTTTTGCTTTTTGTCTATTTCTTTTTCTCAGTAAGTGCTTCTTGACAGTTACACATCCTTTCAGACTCATAGCGCTGAGTCGTCTTCTCACAGTGGAAGGATGGACAGAAACACCCGTGGATGTTTTCAGAAAGTGGAGCTTGATTTTTTTCCTCTCTCTCAAAGACGAAAGATTTTAGTGCTGTTTATCTGATGGAGACAGTGATGGTGGTCTACCAGGTTCTGCTTGGTAGCTAGGAGGCCCATTTTCTCTATATCTGTTCATCATTTTTTTAAACACTTTTTTTCTTTGACTGTTCTCTTCCTTTTCCAAGTCTTGTATATTGTCCCCTCAGAACTAGCTCCTGAAAAATGAATAACTTGCTTACATAGAGTACATAATGGCCATTCTGAGTAGAAATTAAATAAATGGTGATCTCTGACTTTTGCACAGCAATGTACACAACAGTACTTACGGCTTAAGCACTTCTTTTATCCTCTCTATGTCAAATCTTTCATTTCAGCATGCCATGGACACTCTTGGCTTCACTCCTGAAGAGAAATATGGCTGTTATAAGATTGTGGGCGCCATTATGCACTTTGGTAACATGAAATTCAAAGTAAAGCAGAGAGAAGAACAGGCAGAAGCTGATGGCACTGAAAGTACGACCAACTATCTTACAAAAACACATAATTAATCAATTAAGTCCACCTCACAGCTATGAATCATGCCATTCTTAAACTGTGGTGTGTGTTGCTTAGGTGCAGACAAAGCCGCATATCTGATGGGAATCAACTCAGCTGAGCTTATAAAAGGCTTGCTTCACCCCAGGGTGAAGGTGGGCAATGAGTACATTGTGAGAGGACAGACTGTAGAACAGGTGGGTTTGAAGCTTTTGACCACAAGAATCATGAGAACAGGAGTACAGGTGTCTTAAAACATTATTAGAACTTGGACTGAATATCTGTTTCTGTGGATTCACAGGTGACCTACGCTGTTGGAGCGCTCGCCAAAGCTACATATGACCGCATGTTTAAATGGCTCGTCAGCAGGATCAACAGGACACTTTACACGGCCATCCCTCGCCAGTTCTTCATTGGAGTTCTGGACATAGCTGGCTTTGAGATCTTTGAGGTGACTGCATTAGTTTAACAATACTGTTTAGGAAGTTCTAAGAAGGCCGGTCAATAAAGGAACACATTCTTTTGTACATTCCTACACATTGTTCTCATCCTGTTAACCTTCTCTTTCTCTCCTCCACAGTTTAACAATTTTGAGCAGCTGTGCATCAACTTCACGAATGAAAAACTGCAGCAGTTTTTCAATCATCACATGTTCATCCTAGAACAGGAGGAATATAAGACAGAGGGCATTGAGTGGACGTTCATTGACTTCGGCTTAGACCTACAGGCCTGCATCGACCTCATTGAGAAGGTGGGCTTAACACATATACATTGGTTTGAGTGAGAGTGTGCTTGAATCTAAGCACTTATTAAAAGTGTTTGATCTAAATATGAGATTGTCTTCTATTCTGGTGGCAGCCACTGGGTATAATGTCTATAATGGAGGAGGAGTGCATGTTTCCCAAAGCCACAGACAGCAGCTTCAAAGCTAAACTCTATGATAATCACCTCGGCAAGTCCCCCAACTTCCTGAAGCCAAAACCGGACAAGAAACGCAAGTACGAGACCCACTTTGAGCTGGTTCACTACGCTGGTGTGGTGAGTGTGCTTTGCCTTTCGTAACTACTCCATATACATATATGGCCCCCAAAAGTATTTGGACACTTTTATCAATGTAAGCGTTGGTGAACTTTAATTTCACTTTTTTTTTAAATTCACAAATAACTTTAAAGTTCTTTAGCTTATTTCATTTTTTTAAACAAAATCATATTTGTTTTTTTGAGAAAAACACATTTAGCCCAACATTAAACTGATGGTAGACTCTTTGTGTAGAGAAGGCCTGAAGGAGAATTCCAACCAGGATTCTGTAAAGAGGTCTGGGGCTGTTTTTCCTACAGTGGTATCAGTGTGCTTGTGTTCACAGACAGGATCCTGAACTCAGAGTTCATTTTGGATGCAAACCTGCAGACGTCTGCAAACAAACTGCTCAAACGATAACGATCTGAAACACACCAGCCAAAATACAGTCTTAGAACAGTCCAAAAATAGTTGAAAATAAATTCTGCTTTGTTTGATTTCGTTTACTTACATTTAAGTATAGCATAAATGTCCAAATACTTTTTGGGGCCCCTGTATGGTCTTGAATAAGTATAAGAATTAGTAGTTTTAAGTATCCCCCCCTACAACTGTGTTCACAGGTGCCTTACAACATCAGTGGATGGCTGGACAAGAACAAAGACCCTCTGAATGAAACTGTTGTGGGCATCTTCCAGAAATCATCCAACAAGTTGATGTCTAGCCTCTTTGAGCACTTTGTCAGCTTAGATGCAGGTACATACATCACATGTCCAAATCTAATTTAGCTGTTTAAAATACTGTGCATGAACAGTCTAATTCACTACAAACGTATTTGCATTTACTGAAAAAATGAACATGTATGTAAGCACTGATGACAGGAAGTTTAGTGAATTTTTAAGGACCTACATTTCTTGGTACTCTGACAGGAGCAGAGCCCAAACCTGGCGGCAAGGAGAAGAGGAAGAAAGGAGCATCATTCCAAACAGTGTCACAGCTTCATAAGGTGGGTTATAAAGCAGGGATTGAAGGAATGAGGGAGCACTGATAAATGTGATCAATCATGAGTGACGATGCAAAAGAAAGGAATCAAATTGATGGTATAGCGGAGCAAATATCAAAAGCGTGTATTGCTTAAGCAAGTTCATATCCAAAGAAAGATGTGACCTTTGATTATGGACCCATAACCTCCACACTGACGTTGGAGAGCGAGGCAGTTAAGACTTGCAGTGATGTTTAGGTAACTTCACCCATGAACATCACTTTAAGTCTGTGCTGGCTCCACTCTCACCTGCAGCGCCAAAGATGAGAATGGTAAGAATCCACCTCTTTGGATCAGAAGACCTGCAACTGAAGTCTTTTTAATGTCTTGCAGTGTTCACCAAACTTTTAAACATGAAGACAACTTTCTCTTTCTTTACAGGAGAATCTCAACAAACTGATGACCAACCTGAGGAGCACTCAGCCTCACTTTGTGCGCTGCATCATCCCTAATGAGTCCAAGACTCCAGGTATGCAGAGGAGTGAAATATAAGTACTGACATCTCAAATCAGACCTCGAGGCCTAGTCGCCTTTGGGCAAAACTGGCCTGTTTTCTGGTGTAATGCCGAACGGTTTTAAGCATAGACACCAACGGTTAAAACAGCAGTTCCGCTTGGACACAGATTAGTACAGAACTCTTACCCACTTAGCACGGTTTCTTCAGCACAGTTACCTAACCGCACTCAGGGCCACAAGAACCTTTGGCTTAATGTTGTAGCTATTCTATGCTTCTACATTTGTCATTTTTGTGCCACCGCAGTCAAATCAAAAGTTAAGTTTGCCCACTGAGTCACCAAATAAATGAATGTAGTGCATGATTTTCAATCCGTCATTCAATGCATGTCAACCAATCAATCTAACAATAACTGCTAAATGTTAAAAAGTGCTGCTAACCAAGAGAGAAGCTGGTTAGCATTAGCTTAGCTAGATTGCTAACAGCTCTACTCACCACAGGTTTGACTCTGGCTAATGACCCCCTGCACATCCCATCTAAGAGTCCCCTCTCTTTTTAGATGTCTCATATGGTGCCTCTTGGTCTTTTACCTGTTACTGGTAGGTATGATGGAGCCGTTCCTGGTCTTGCACCAACTGCGTTGTAATGGAGTACTGGAGGGGATCCGCATCTGTAGGAAGGGATTCCCCAATCGTATCCTATATGCAGAGTTTAAACAGCGGTGAGGTTAAGCTCTTTTCACTGTGTATACTTTTGCATTCCATCAGCAGATGAATCCTAAGATTCAGACCATTTTAGGCCCCAGTGGTTTAAAAATCCTTTACCTGTGTAAACGAAGCATGTATTTTAGTCGCTTAAAGAGATCTGGTCTTTCTTTAGCAGGGCTCTTTGAATTAAGGTTTGGTTGTGATTATTTCTCCAGGTACCGCATTTTGAACCCTTCTGCCATTCCAGAGGACACGTACGTGGACAGCAGGAAGGCTGCAGAGAAGTTGCTAGGCTCGCTGGACATAGACCACAGTCAATACAAATTTGGCCACTCCAAGGTGAGGAAGAACTTCTCTATCTCTCTACTCTGTCAGTCTGTGATTACTCTGGTGTCCTGACCCTGACTGCATTCCAAACTGTGAAATCCACAGGTTTTTTTTAAGGCTGGTCTGCTGGGTCATCTGGAAGACATGAGGGATGAGCGACTGGCGAAGATCATCACCATGTTGCAGGCTTTCTGCAGGGGCAAACTCATGAGGATGGTGCGGAGGAAGCTGATGCAAGAGAAGTACGCCCCATGCACAGGGAGTTTACTGTTACACATGGGCCAGATTTTTACAATTTATATGACAAATCTTAATTTAGAAGCCAAACTGTTTCATACACTCCAGAAGTTGAAGTTGGTGGGCAGACAGTAACTACCAGATCCTGGAATGCAAAGAGTCATAAACCTTCAGTTCCATACCAACAATCCACTCGTACACACCCCTTAATGAGGAATTACACAGATTTTTTTGCCAATGAATATATAATTTAATTGTTGAGATGTAAACAAAGTCATTCAGAGTGGTTTAATGTGAAATGGTTTGTTGTACAGTGTGCGGTGGTGGTGATAGGAACCAGGGGCTGTGATGTCTACAACTCAAATCTAGCCATTTTATTCACCATCCAAAACCACTAGTGAACCTACACGTCTTCTAGAGCTTATATGCAATATTGATAATGGTGAAATAGTGGTAAATCTTAAGTTTTCTTGAAGGGCTGTTTAGCCTTACAGTGCCCTTTATGTGCTTCTCTGCCATTACTGTATTTTCATAAAAGAGGTTTTAGGCCATAACAACATATTTCACATTGAAAATTTTGTTATTTTGTTAACATTTTATCATTGAATCATATAGAATATTTGGAAAAATTAGTGGAATTCCCCTTCAAGCAGCCTTTCACCATTAATTCCATCAGTTTCTAGAGAAGAATCTTTCAACATGTTTGCTGTTCAGCTCCTAAGCTATTCCTAACCACAGTGCTAAAGTGTTGAATGCGAGGGTGTGGGACTGTGAGTTCATAGATCTATGTGAGGAATGCATGGAGTAGGTCTGGCCTGTGGTGTGGCGTGTGGCGGGCGTGTGTCCACACACAAACAGACAGGATTGTGTGTGTGGTCCCTGTGGAAAAAGCCTGTTAAACCCTTTCCACTCCAAATGGCACTGACAAAAGCAGGTGTGGAGGTGGGTCATGTGTCCCTCGCTGAGTCCCCATGCCAGTTGTCCAGTATCCCCCCCGCCCGCCTCCCCTATTATAAATAACCTCCATCTACGCACCTGCTCCCTCTCTTGCTCCTTTGTTAGGAACGGTTGTAGTCAAGAGCAGACACATCGCTGAAATGCCAGCCCAGGTGACTGAGGATTAACTCCTCTTGTTTCACCAGTGAGTTGGGTTGCAGATAATCAATGACCTCTGTCCAACCTCTGACTGTCCCTCAGTGTGCTGCCATGCCAGCAATGCGGAATTGATTTACTTTCCAGGCATGTTCAGTGTCACCACAGGCCTACTGATATAGAACACAAGACACAATGGTGTGTGGCGCTCTGGCCCTATTTGGTGCTGGCCTCGCTGAGCTAATTTAGAACAATGGGGCGGTGAGTTTGGGTTACACCAACAAGGCTGTTCCACTCATACCCAAACCAGAGTTAAAAACCTTTGTGCCATTTTATTCTGTGTGTTGATAAAAATCTAAGTTTGTTCAACCTAAGGAATCCCAAAAACAGCAGTGGTCATTAGTGTTGGTCATCTGTTGAGTGTCATTTACAATATTGCTGCTGTCGGAACAAAACCTTGTATCTCCAAAATGATAACTTCACTTTTAATGTAAGTCAATGTAACCTGATTTTTTCCCAAGTAATTCTGGACTGTTTCTTTTGGTCTCTTTATCATAAACTTCACCCATAATGTAAAGGACAACAGGCCTTTTTTAAAATTATGTCAAAATCTAAACAACGACAAAAATGAAGATACGAGGTTTTGTTCCAACAACAGCGATATATGACATAACCCTACTTTTTCCAGTTTTAACAAAACATCTAGTTGTTCTTAATGCTGTGCACATAAATAATGGCAAATAGACTAATAGAAAAGGTCCAACATTACTTTGTAACAATAAAATCTTTTACATGACCATACACTGAATTTAAGATTTTTTTTCCTTCTCCTATAAGTTATCAAATCCCGTTGGCCAAAGAATTGCTTTTGTTTGAGATTGGATGTTTCATTACAACAGTATGTTAAAGGGGATTGTCCAGCCTACATTACTTTTTAACAACTTTTTAATAAGTTATTCCTCAAAGTTTCATCCCTGTAGTGCAGCTTAGCAACTAAACTGATGGACCCAGCCCCATGCTTACACAGCAACTTCAAAAAAAAAAAACAAACAAAAAAAATATTCTCTTCTTCTTTTGCAGGGAGGCTATAATGGTGATTCAGTGGAATATCCGGGCGTTTTATGCAGTCAAAAACTGGCCGTGGATGCGTCTCTTCTTCAAGATCAAACCTCTCTTGAAGAGTGCAGCCACCGAAAAGGAGCTGGCCGCTCTCAAGGAAGAATTCCAGAAGCTAAAGGAGGCATTTGAGAGATCAGAGGCCAAGAGAAAGGAGCTGGAAGAACGACAGGTTTCCCTGGTGCAAGAGAAAAATGACCTTTCTCTGCAGCTTCAAGCTGTAAGTGGCTAAAATCCTAAAACTCAAAGCACTGTAAGATGTAGCTTTAAATGGTACAAACTAAATATAAGCAATGTTTGGAAGAAGCATCAACAGACATTTCGATGACGTACCTACATGGCAACATGTGATCTGAATTAAATCATTGCTAAATCACACAAATGAAGGAGAAACTCATCCTCACAGATTGTTCACATTTGACCTGCAGGAACAAGACAACCTGGCGGACGCAGAAGACAGATGCAACCTGCTGATTAAGGCTAAGATTCAGATGGAAGCGAAAGTGAAGGAGCTTATGGAAAGACTGGAAGATGAAGAGGAGATGAGTTCTAGCTTGCTTACCAAAAAACGCAAGCTAGAGGATGAGTGTGCAGAGCTGAAAAAGGATCTTGATGACCTGGAGATGACCTTGGCCAAGGTGGAGAAAGAGAAACATGCCACAGAGAACAAGGTGAGAGGAGCAAAGCTGAGAGAAGTGCTAAAGGACTCACTTATCTCCAGCTAGACAGTTCTAATTGTTTTTTCTGTTTGGGGTCCAGGTGAAGAATTTGGCAGAGGAGATGGCAGCTCTGGATGAGACCATCCTCAAGCTGACTAAAGAGAAGAAAGCCCTGCAGGATGCCCATCAGCAAGCTCTGGAGGACTTGCAAGCAGAGGAGGACAAGGTTAACATGTTGACCAAGGCTAAAATCAAGCTGGAGCAGCAGGTTGACGATGTAAGTGTGGAGTAAACCCAACAAACCAGCACTGGCATAAGCCGGCTTATTAGGGTATTAGGCAGTGACCATGTGCCACATAGTATATGCACTGCATCTGTACTGTGTAGCTTCACTCTCAGAAGAGCAACAAGAGTAGTTTTTTGGAAACCTGTATGAGCCAGTGAACTCTCATCCACAGCTTGAGGGCTCTTTGGAGCAAGAGAAGAAGGTGCGTATGGACCTTGAGCGAGTCAAGCGTAAGCTGGAAGGAGACTTAAAGATTTCTATGGAGTCAGCCATGGACCTGGAGAATGACAAACAGCAGCTAGAAGACAGGCTGAAGAAGTGAGAAATCAAATGTGCAATATGGCCTTTCTGCCTTCAGGAGGCACCTAAAAATGGCAGCTAGAATTCTGCATGCATGTTTGTAAAGCTCATAAATGTGCTCCTTCCTCCTGTTTAGGAAAGACGTTGAAATGAGTCACATTAACTCCAAAATTGAAGATGAACAAGCCATGGTGCTTCAACTGCAGAAGAAAACAAAGGAATTGCAGGTGAACTGACTAAGCCAGTAACCTAAAATTGCATCCAACTGCATTCCAAATACCACAATAAGTGAACAGCATGACTGATGAGATGATCTGCTTATAGACTCGTATCGAGGAGCTGGAGGAAGAGCTGGAGGCAGAGCGGGCAGCTCGAGCGAAGGCAGAGAAACAGCGCTCAGATGTAACCCGGGAGCTGGAGGAGCTGAGTGAGCGGCTAGAGGAGGCAGGGGGAGCCACTGCAGCTCAGATCGAGATGAACAAGAAGCGGGAGGCAGATTTCCTGAAGCTGCGGCGAGACCTGGAAGAAGCCTCTTTACACCACGAGGCCACGACAGCTTTGCTGAGGAAGAAGCACGCAGACAGTGTGGCTGAGCTGAGTGAGCAGTTAGACAACCTGCAGAGGGTCAAACAGAAACTGGAGAAGGAGAAGGCTGAGGCCAGAATGGAGGTTGAGGATCTGGCTTCTAATCTGGAACACCTCTCAAGGGCCAAGGTGAGACATTACACCTCTCCTGTTCAGCAGATGATGACTGAAAAGTGCTACAGGCACATAGCAATCTTCTTGAAGACTGATATGAGCTGCAGACTCTGCAATTTAAGGGTACCTTTTTAACAAATCCATGATATTTACTTGACTATAAAACTTTCTGCCTCAGGCTGCAACAGAGAAGATGTGCAGGATGTTTGAGGACCAGCTGAACGAGTCCAAGACCAAAGTGGAGGAACTTCAGAGGCAGTTGATGGATGTCACCTCTCAGAAAGCCCGTGCCCAGACAGAGAGTGGTAGGTGAAGATGTGAAGAACTTCTCTTGCTATGGTTTTGAACACAGTCTTTTGACGTCATATGCCTTTGTCCATCCGCAGCGGAGATTAGTCGCAGATTGGAGGAGCGGGAGGTCCTAGTTATGCAGCTTCAGCGCACCAAACTCTCTCTCACACAGGCTGGAGAGGACCTGAAGAAACAGCAGGAGGAGGAGTGCAGGGTGAGAAGATCAGATGCAAGATTGAAAATGTTGCTCTGTTAATTCACAGAATTAAAAGTAAACATAAACGTTGCTTGTCTTGCTGCATTAGGCAAAGAATGCTTTGGCTCATGCAGTGCAGTCATCTCGACATGACTGTGACCTGCTGAGGGAGCAATTTGAAGAAGAGCAGGAAGCCAAATCCGAGCTGCAGCGGGCCTTATCCAAAGCTAATGCCGAGATTGCTCAATGGAGGACGAAATATGAGACTGATGCTATTCAAAGGACAGAGGAACTGGAGGAAGCCAAGTAAGCATTCTTTGAAAAGCTGTAAGCTATCAAGGATGCAGAGTTTAGAGGAAAATGATTAGGCTATGAATTCATGATGACAAAGTGTTTCTATAATATTCCATATTATATACTGACGAAAGGGTAACTGAGCATTCCTTACAATTTTCCAAGGCTACAGTGCAGATCTACCAAAGTCCTTTTTCATGCTCCACTCAGGAAGAAGCTGGTGACTCGGCTGCAGAGTTCAGAGGAGGTGATAGAAGCCTCAAATGCTAAATGCGCCTCACTAGAGAAGACCAAACACCGCCTGCAGACTGAGATTGAGGACTTAATGGTGGACCTGGAACGCTCCAATGCTGTTGCCGCTGTATTAGACAAGAAACAGCGCAGTTTTGATAAGGTCTGAACGTTTCTATGTCTAAGGTTGATTCAAAAGCTTTGCAGTTCAGTTCAGCTTACATATGCTCATACTGCTCTCTTGACACATCTTTAAGATCCAAAAAAATTTGGAGCCTTATTCGTGGTCATTTGTTTTCAACGTCCAGGTGTTGTCCGAGTGGAGGCAGAAGTTTGAGGAGTCACAGGCAGAGTTGGAGAGCTCTCAGAGGGAGTCCCGCAGTCTGAGCACTGAGCTCTTCAAGCTCAAGAACTCCTATGAGGAGGCACTTGAGCACCTGGAGACTGTTACTCGGGAGAACAAGAACCTTCAAGGTATGACAAGGTTCTTAATCAGTGCATTCGCTTAATGAAGCTGTTCAAAGTGAGGACCTCCATAAGCAAGCGACCTTGTGCTTTTGCAGAGGAAATCACTGACCTGACTGAGCAGATCAGTCAAGGAGGCAAAACCATCCATGAACTGGAGCAGATAAAAAAGGTCTTGGACCAAGAGAAGTGCAACATCCAAGCAGCTCTGGAGGAAGCTGAGGTAGATCACATGCAGATTCTACCATCACTCAATAGATTCCACTGTCTCTTAATGATGCCATGAGCTGTTGACAGTTGTCCTCTTTCCCTGTTAATGGCCACAGGGTACCCTGGAGCATGAGGAGAGTAAGACCTTGCGAACCCAGATGGAGCTCAGCCAGGTCAAAACTGAGATAGACAGAAAGCTAGCAGAACGGGACGAGGAGATTGACAACCTCCGGTAAGGAAGACTCTGGCATATAAACTGGAGGCAATGTTGAACTGAAATTATGAATGATCCAAGATACTTTTCCTTGAACTAATCCAGGCGGAATCACCAGCGGGTCCTGGAATCCATGCAGGCCTCTTTGGATGCAGAGGCCAGAGCAAGAAATGAAGCTGTTAGATTAAAGAAGAAGATGGAGGGAGACCTCAATGAGATGGAGATCCAGCTCAGCTATGCTAACAAGCAGGCCGCTGAGTCCCAGAAACTAGTTCGCCATCTGCAGGTTCAAATAAAGGTGAGAGAAAAATTATTTGCAGTAAATTGGAAACTTGAACATGTCTACAAAAAAATGCGTTATATCATATTATCTAAAATAAACAGTTCCAGATGTGCCCAACACATCTCTGAAGAGCCCGTAAGGTCAGTGATGTGATCCTAGTTGTATGTGGCACTTAGGACATGCAGCTGGAATTCGATGAGTCTATGCATCAGTGTGAGAACCTGAAGGAGCAGGTGGCAGTGACGGACCGCAGAAACACCCTTCTCGCTGCTGAGGTGCAGGAACTCCGCACAGCCATCGAACAAACGGACCGAATGCGGAAGGTTGCTGAACATGAGCTGCTTGAGTCTTCTGAGAGAGTGAACCTCTTACATGCACAGGTGAGAAACTTGCAGATACTGTTCATTGAGCACATTTAAGCACATGCAAGCAATAAAGCAAATAATGGTTTGTGTATTCTCTGCATTTTGATTTCTAATGGGCTTTGCTGGCTTTTGTAGAACACTGGTTTACTGAACCAGAAAAAGAAGCTAGAAGGGGATCTCTCCACGCTGGCCGGCGAAGTGGATGAGACTCTGCAAGAGTGCCAAAATGCTGAGGAGAAGGCCAAGAAGGCAATCACTGATGTGGGTTCCCACAAGAACATCATCGATTTTCACCAATCCAGCTAAGCCTGGCATAAGTCATATCACAATATTTATACGAATACTGATTCGATTGTTGAATGGGGGTAACCGTAGTCTCTTTCTGCAGCCCATTCCACCAGCAAAATGGAAATCGACTCATATTTTGAATTAATATATGATGAAATTAAATATTTTTCCATGCAACTCCATTATGAGATTAACTAGTACACTGTTGGCTCTCCGTGTGTGAAATGTTGTGACCCTATGTTAAGCTGCTAGTGAGCAATGAGGGCTGAAAGTTAAAGCAACCTATCCGTCCCACAGGCAGCCATGATGGCAGAGGAGCTGAAGAAAGAGCAGGATACCAGCTCCCATCTAGAAAGGATGAAGAACAACATGGAGCAGACCATCAAAGACCTGCAGATGCGTTTGGATGAGGCAGAGCAGATCGCCCTCAAGGGAGGCAAGAAACAGATCCAGAAACTAGAAACACGGGTGAGCACACACAATGTTTTAGAGACTGTATTAAATATCATTTAAACTTTCTGAGCAAATTCCCATCATCTGTGAAACATGCCAAATCTCAGGTGAGGGAGCTTGAGGGAGAGCTGGACTGTGAGCAGAGGAAGAGTGGGGAATTCCAAAAAGGAATACGCAAATATGAGAGGCGGATCAAAGAGCTTACATATCAGGTATTGCACACAATTATCCATAGAGGACTGTGATTTAGTCCTATGTCAAGCCTTACTGAGAGGGCTGTGTTCTCTCTGCAGACAGAAGAGGACAGGAAGACATTGTTGAGGATGCAGGACCTGATAGATAAGCTCCAGGCCAAAGTGAAGAGCTACAAGAGGCAAGCTGAGGATGCAGTACGTATCTTTGTCTCATCACAAAGCATTAAACTATTACAAAACAACAATGCTTTCAGGACATCACAAGTTCTAGGAAAGCATTCATTACAAGCAAAGGTCTGTGTTGGGTCGGCAACATGCAGCTCTGGAGTCTTTTACTGTCCTGTTGTGGCTCCACAGCACAACTGGATTTTTTTAGGAAAAATAATCTTCCTTTGCGGTACAATAAAGCTCTGCTGATCGTTTTAACAATAAATGGTCTTAAACACTGGAGTTAATGTAGCTTATAACTGCTAATTCACCCTTTAACCCTGAAGATTGGTGTGCAGACTGCTGGTCATCATAGCAACGCAGACAAAAATCTTGCCTAGCTAGTAGCTAACGAAAAGGCAAAGAGAGAGATTTAAGATGAAAATTGGTAATTCAGAGACAAAATTACTTATTTACATTTATAATCACTCCAGCTGGTTTCCTGATACATTTAATCTGCAACAAGAAACTGTTAAACACTAAAAAGTTGCGAAGCTGAAGCTTCTTGTTTTCCAGCTTGTTGTTCCAATTTTTCCGTTCCACCTTAAATGGTGCAGCAGTTACATTCTGGCATCTTAGGTACCATTTAAGGTGGAACAGGAAAATTCAAACAAGAAGCTGGTGAATGAGAAGCGACTTCAACCTCGTTAAAAAGATTAATGTTGAGACATTTTACAAGAAACTGTTCTACTTTTTTGGAAAAGTTTCCTGCTGGAGATGTGAGAAAAACGGATATAGCTGAGCTAAAGCTTAAAGCAGAGCAAAGTAAGTCTGTGTTTTCTTGATGTTTTTAAAATTTTGTGGCTTCAGAGGTGGTTTGATTTATGATGAAAGGACAAAATGGCTCTTCTTAACAGTGAGGTGGCCGACCCTTGGTTTATGCCAAGGCACAGTGAAGCAGTCTTGTTGGCTCATGGTTAGTCAGCACCATACCAAGACACTGTTGGTTTTTCCTGTTTGTAGAGCTCATATTATTACAGCCAAGTTGCTCTTCTTGTGCTATGCACCCCTATTGCCATTGTTCTCTGAAAAGGCCCACCAGGCTGCTGAGACTGACTGTGTTGTGTGTATCGCTGTGTGGCAGGAGGAACAGGCCAACTCCAACATGACTCGCTTCAGAAAGATCCAGCACGATCTGGACGATGCAGAGGAGAGGGCAGACATGGCCGAGTCTCAGATCAACAAACTGCGCGTGCGCACTAGAGAGATGCATACTACTGTCAAGGTAGTGCAGATACAAACACAAACAAAAAATGAAGATTCTAGAGCATGCACAGCAATACCATTTACAACATGAAATTACAACTACATAAAACGTAATGACCAAAATTTCTTGAGAATGACGTCAGAAAAAGTGATAAAAAAATAAACATCCATAACAAAAACTATGTTTGTGTTTACAGATCACAGAGTGACGAACGAACCGCAAATTCTGCTCAACTTACAGCAGAGGACTTCACAGAGTGATGTAGCACGTGTGAATCTATTTCTGATGAAGTTTTTGGTTTACACAATGCAAAGGACTAAAAAGCTTAATGTGATGCTTACTGGTGATCATCGAAGACAAAAACTGATCATTTTATTAATAATGTAGAGTAGAGCATGCATATATTGACATGGTGGGTTTTAAAAGGAGTCGAGATACTAAGCTTAAGAGTGATTGTGAAAATTTGAAATGCAAAGATAAATACAGGGCACTGTTCATGGCATTCAGTGTGTGTGTACAATAAAAACAGGAATGTGTGGCTATTGATTTTAAACCCCTACTTTGTGACACTAAAGCTCAAGATAATGTAAAAAGTGCATTCATTTTGGGGAAAATGGAGGGTAGTTGTGGGGAAGTGGGTGACAAATTGTTTTCAATCAAAAGGACAACACAAACAATATTTTTAGATTAAACTGAGGATGAATTTACGACCTAAATTCATGTAGTGGCATTATTATTGTCATTTTTATCCAGCCGTAGTATTTAGTATTTAACTTTTAATTGTTAAGTGCTTAATAAGACACAACATAACAGATTATGTGTTAATGTAACAGTGGTGAGCTGCAGAAATTCATATACAAACTTTTTGATGAAAACCTAATAAAATAATTAAACATTTTTAGGGCAATATGATAAAGGGGCCCTTTTTTTACCCCATGTTGGGGAGCTTCATATTATCGCTTCGAAAGAATCCCCCCCACACCCCCCTACTCCACAACCAAGTGTATTGTTCTCTGCACAAACACCCTGAAACATATATTTTCAACTAATTTTCTTATACAGCTTAATGCAAATACATAGATCATTTTAACCAATGACAACAAAAGTTTCCAGGTCAATAAATCTGGAATACGGTATTTGATTAGATCACAGCCATTCAGTAAATGTGTCAGTTAGATTTGGCCCCATCATTTGATCAAGAACGGATGGTTTCAGTGGCCCATTTCCATCAGAATCACAATGATGTGTTTCACTGGAAACTGGAACACATTCACTCACACCTACATTACCTGACACTGATTCCAAGCGTTGATATAGCAGCGATGATTATATTAAGCTCACATTGGCCAAAATAGGAAGAATGACCTCAATTAACTGCTAATAAATGTCCAATAACAGATACAGTTGGGTGCAAAAGTTTGAACAGAGCTGGTCAAACTATGTTTTGTTGATTTTAAGTGTAGTCCTCCTCTACAGTGAACAAATTTAAATCTGGCACTTTTCTACACATTTTAGCGCAAAATTTCAATTTATTTTTAAGTTTAACACGCTATAAACTTAAAAATGTTCACAGGACACATTTTGTATTTTACCCACCCTCCCTCCCAATATGTGAAATTCAGTGAATAAACAGTAACTGTGGATTAAATGAGCAGAAGTGTTTGCTGTAGAGGATGTGTTTACTTATTTCCACCTAGAAAGCCAACAAAACAGCATAAACTTTTGCATTTTGACTGTATTTACAAGCCAGTATTAGTTCACATGATTAATTTTCGTTAGCAGGAAAAAGAAAAAAATAAAAATAAAAATAAAAAGATTAATGCCTTTCTTAGATCTTTTTTTAAAAAAAAAAAAAGACGCCACACAGACAAACTTAAATTGCATTGTGAATGATAGTTTATGTAATCATAAGACATAATAATTGTGATAAAACATGTTACATCTTTATTTTCATTTACTATCTTTTGTCACTGGGTTTTAAAGTTAGAATTTGAGTTGAAGAGTGAGCTACACAATATTATTAAATATAGAGGCAGTACTTAAACTAAGCAAAACACCAACACCAACAATTGCATTGGCCCTGAATTTCAGCTTGTTTGCTGGAGGAGTGGGCTCTTTTCATGGGCATCTCAAGGTTTATGTATATATATATTTTTTAATCAGATCACAACACCCCCAAGTATCTAAAAAGGAGAGAGCCCTTAGACTACAGCCAAAAGAAAATGTGCCTATGTAGTCCTGGAGAAAAACATCCAGCGTCTACCGCGAAACACTCACAGGCGTGCTTACATACACACACACACACACACACACACACACACACACACACACACACACACACACACACAAGAGCATTCATACTCACACATACACCTAAGATTTAGAAGCACTGGTTCACTATAACCAGCACATTCACACGCACTTGTAAAAACATAAGCGCACCCACGCCACTTACTTTCTCGTTCTCACACACATTCTTACAGCATCCCTATAGAACAGTCCTATTAGAGGAGACTTGGGTGTAACTCTGTGGAAGTTCAGAGCCTTGTCAGTAGCTCATTAGAACCTCCCTTTGCTTCCACAGCCGCCACACAGTCTCCTGAATCACACCTCCAGAAAGTCTCTGTCCAGATCTCTGTAGGCCTCATCTATGTACATGGCAATGGCACAGAGGGAGCTCCTGTCTGAACTTAGCAACACCGTCACCGTTTCCTTCCAGTAGGTAAAAGGAATACAGGAACTCTGTACAAAAAGGTAGAAAGACAGAGTCATTAATAAACTGATTTAATGTATGTTTATGAGTTGTGTGTATGCATGTGTGTTAGTGTTGGACCAGTGCTGTGCTCACATTCTCCAGGCAAGTGCTGTCCTTGTCTTTGTTGAGGTAGTGGTGCTGCCAGAAGCGCAGCAGGTGGTAGAAGTTGTTGAATAAGCAGCCAGGATATTTCTCGGCATACTCCTTCTCTTTAAGAGCGCTCAGGTAAAATGGCAGCTTGCCCCTCCACCGTGCCAGCATCAGCACCACCAAACTCGTGTTCAGGCAGCTCACGTTCTCCTAGGATTGGACAAAAATGTACAAATGAATAAAAATCCTTACACAGTACAGTAAAGGTTACTGTGCTCCACAAACCAAAATTTACAGGATTCTGTCATGAACCAATTTGACTAATAACTTGCAACATGACAGTAAAAAACGAAGTACGGCCTTGCCTGAGTTAGTGTCTGAACATTGATGATGTTGATCAGCCTGAAGAGGAAGGAAAGTCTATTCTCTACTTGAGCCATGTAGGACAAGAGACGACACTCCGACAGCACTTCTACAACTGAGAGAGAAACAGTTCACAAACCGGCTTAAAATCTAAAATCATGGTATGCACTTTACTCAATTTTTTTGATGACTCTCTCACTAGTACCTTTTATGTCATCCGTCTGGCCCTCAAAACGGTCCAAGGACAAAACAATGCAGCGCACCAGCATGTTGGAGTCTACCAGTGAGCTGTTGATCTGGCTCAGGAACATCTGGAACTGAAACAGTACACAAGGAATAAGAAATGTTGTGAAGATAATTTAGCTGAGCAGCCTTTAGATGGCTTTGCTTTGTTCATCGCTGGTTATAAATGTCCCAAGGAAATAGTTTTAGATGTGATCCATATCTATTTATGATTATCTTTGATTATCTATGTTAGAGGGCAAGCCATTTTTTGCTGTGCTCAGTACTGAACTTTAATACTGTTTTCAAATATAGTTCGTTTTAAAAGAACTGAACAGAGTTTGGTTAAAGTGAGCCTGAAAGGGAACCAACTGCAAATGACCTCTTTTGTCTTTTTGTGTTCACAGTGTAAACGAACTATAAAGAGACCTCAGTTTTCTTTCTGGTCCTTTGAGATCTCAGACCACAACTCCATTAGAACTCAGACCCCTTTCACACCACTCACGGTGTGCGCAGCATTCTCTCATAAAACTGACCTTTCAGGTGGTGAGAGAAACCACCAGAATCGCATGCTGCTCTCTTATTGGCCACACTGAAACGACTAGCTGAAGCGCATAGCACAAAACTGGAAAAATGACCAGGCGTGTCTGCCGCTGTGGGTTCCGTTTTTGGCTGTGCTCCTCACTGAGCTCCAGCGAAAATCCACATCAGTGGTTAATTTTCATTCATTCAGCGTTAAAAGTTGTGTTGCATGCCCAGCATGAGTCTTCAACACGGTAAATTTGTGGGCTCTCACATCGTATCGCTTTAGTATGTCAGCGCTGCTGTCTTATCGCAGATCACGAACAGGCTTTATCCTGTGTAAAACCTTATAAATGATCCTTGGTGGTCTGTTTTACCTGCTGAAGTGCTGAAGACTGTGGCTGTGTGTACGGTGAGCCTCGAGGTGTTCACCATAAAGCAAAACAGACTAGGGCTGTTTTGTTTTCACAATGCACAAATAAATTGAACCACAAAACAAACTACAAATGAACCAAACCGTTCGTTTTTGGGGGCGCTTAAAGGGGTCTGAGTTCATTTGGCATGTTCACATACGCAAAAAAAGACTCAGAGGACTCCACTTCTGATGCTTAAACGCCCAAGTTCACTTTTAACCTTTGTGCCTGAGGAAGGGAGCGGGGAGAGAGACAGAGAGAAGAGGGAAAAAATAATATTAAGGTGCTACCAATACTGCTCAATCCTGATGGATCATGGCCAGCCTGCTTAATTTGCTCAAAATTTACCCGTTACCCCACGCCACTTTCTAAAATGCAAGAAGCAAATAACCTGCAGAAATTGTGCTTCTGAGTAAAAGTATCAGAGTTACATGAAGGCCTGTGCTAGTAACAGAATCCTCTTATTCAAGTAACCATATAGAAAAAGAACAGCAGAAAACGGTCAAATTGGAATGTTTGGGGCAGGGAGGGTGGTGAGGGCATTTACACGATTTATTTATTTATTTATTTATATTTATACACTTCATTCCAGCTATTTTGTGATACATTTTTCTACCCCTGAAGCAGACACAGAGTGACAGCATGTGAGCTTAATCTCTGTCAAATAAAAGAACATAACAGTGCTGAGCCCAGTTTCCCAAAAGCATCTGTTAGGATCATCTTAACTCACAGAGACTGTGTTCAGCTTTGGGCCAAGATGCCTTTGAGAGACCCAGCCCTGTTCAGTAAATGTTGTAGCTGTGCCCAAATTAAAAGATGACAACACCTACAAAACTGCAATCTAATATAAAAGAGCAGAACTGTACACGTCACACAAACTTTACCATCCAAAGCTGTTTTGTTTAAGGCTGCTTAGCCTGATGTCCAATTGTACGAGAGCTGACCCCCTGCCAGGCCTGAAGCTGTTTTGCCTGATGTCTGAAACCTGACACTGTGAGTGACCCTCACAGTGCATAACATAACATGCGTGGCTTTTGTACAGGTGTGGTATTTGGCTGCCACAACACACAGTGCCGCCCACCCCACCACTGCCCCCAAATTATTTTTAAAACTGTGGTAAATGAGTTGAGCACCCGCACGCGCACACACACACACAGATCAGGCATAACATTATAACCATC